ATCCCTTCTCCCATGTATTGTGAACTATGAACCTATCTGTCAAAGTGCCCCAATATTGTGAGGGTGAATTCTATTAGACTGAGAAGTATTATGGGGAACGGAGGCAGTAAAGGTTCCCTTAGAGTGTGTGTCATCATTTCAGCCTTCTGGATTAAGTCATAAGGACTCTGATATATGCATGGGCAGCTGCTGAGTGGGTTCACAGCAGGACCGCATTACTGGACAATAGTGGTTAAGAGGAGGCAGGGTCTGTTTGGAGGAGCTAGGGGCCAGGGTTTGAGGTAGTTAGACCTTGGCATGACCCAGTCTTTATGCTCTTCCTTCTGCATCCTCTTCAGTGCTATAAACTACTCTGTCACACCCTCACTGCTGTGATGGACCAAACCCTCTGTAACTGAGCAAAAGGAACCCTCCTCCTTTATGCTGTTATGCCAGACACTACAGCACAGCAACCAGAAGAGATAAGAAACCCCCCCCCCTTCTGAACTACCTCCTGCTTGCTGTCCTGATAAGCGGCCTGGCCAGGAGGTTTGGTGGCTACTGCAGGTCACTCAGCAGTTCTTTTATATTTGAGGTCAAGGGCCACAGAGGCTTGGGGCTCAACCAGTCCTAGGAAGACCAGACCTCTTCTCTCCCTGTTACCTACCAACACTAGATACATTTAGTGTTGATTGGTAACTGTCAGTTGCTGGTGTTTGATTTTGTGGACACACTGGGAGATGGTACAGTTTTGTATAAGGCCAATAAACTTAATGTAGGTGAAAAAGCGAAAAAACAAAACCCCCATCGTTTCAGTCTCTAAAGGGAAGATTAATGAGTCCTAGTTATTTTGCTTTTAACTTGACAGATGATTTTTGGCAACAAAAATCACGTGGTGATTAAAAACGTTTTCATATTTTTCTAGCTGCAGAATGCTTTCACCTGTCCCAGCATCTGTTGCTTTTATAATGGCAGCGTTCTCTCCCAGCAGTCAAGGTCACTTTCATTTTAAACAATGGAGCAAGTTTGTTTCAGAAACTTCATCGGGTAGCACATGGCTGAGATGGTGAGCTCTGTCTTAGGCGCGAAGGCCTGGTCCCCTAAGCGTGGCGTCCATCAGCTTTGGGAGGCTCATGACTGCCAGCGGCTTGCAGGAGTCTGTTTTAACAGTAAAAGTCTTTTCATCGGCAGACTACAGTGTTAGCACTGGAGTGTGTGGTCAGTAATCCTTCCTCATAGAGGGGGGGAAGGCGCGGCTAGCAGGGCCCACTGCAGTCTGTCTCCTGTGGGAGGCCTGCAGCCTGGACATCTGCCTTATGGGAGGAACTCCTGAGTAGAAGCTAAGAGGATTGTCTGACTTCAGAAGCATCGATAATAACACCAGACAATGGAAGATATCTGAGTCTTTAAACCACACCTGATAGAGTAGGAAATCAAGAAAACGACAGCTCTCTATACTCTTTGCTCCTTCTGAATAATAAGCAGCCTAGACTGGGGCTAAGCACAGCTGCAGACATGAGTCCTCCCCTTGCTAGGCACCTGAACTTGACTGTACAGGATTTTTAGGGGAGGGTGGGGCAAGGGTTTGGAAGGGGAAGTTGTTGGGGTCTCCATCCTCTGCCCTGTGAGGGGGCTGGTCCCTAGAACTCTCACAACAGACTGCAATCTGACAGGGCTGCAGGGGAGTTAGAGTGGAGGCTTGCGCATCTTGTCTGTACCTTATGGCCATGAGGGGCTGCGCTGTGGGACTGAGTCAGGTGTACCGGACAACTGGTTCCCACAGGTTCCTGGCTGGGCAGGACTTGGGTCTGGTGGGGGCAAGAGGCAATGTTGTGGGGTAGAGAGCTAGGTACTGTGGAGGAATCTTCCCAGGAGCTCCTGACTGGACAAGACTTTGGTCTTATAAGGATGAGGGCCATGTTGTGGAATCCTGGTGGGCTTTACTTTCCTCTAGTTTACTTCTCCCACACACCTTGTTTTCTAGTGCGGGTTTCTGAGGGCTCTCATAATTGGATCCTCCTTGTCTCCCTGGGGCTCCCCATGCTTGACCAGCCCCCTGAACTTCTGGCATCTCTTCGGACCACTGAGCAGAGCATGTGTGTAATTGCATTCCAGCTATATTTTCTGTAGCCATAGTGAATCGAGCATAAGTGAACCCTTGGGTGGAGATGAGGGCAGGAGGGACCCTGAGCAAAAAACATTCAAATAGGTCTTGAAGCATATCAGCATATTAAAAAAAATGTTCTTGTTAGCCAACTTTATATCCCCAAAGCACTCACTGATAGTGTTTTGGCTCCTGGCACTGTTTTATGGTGACTGGAAGATATCAATATGTTGGTTCAGCTGTTTACATGTGGCTACTTCTAATAGGGAATACCTGTGATGGAGTTGGGGAGGCCAATATGGCACACGCATGCAGTACTCCATTCTCTGGGGGTCCTGATTTATTGGATATTGTAAGGTATGTGAGGGTGATGCTGTTGATTCTGTGACTCATTACGATAGAAGCAAACATACGGGACGGGGGAGGGACTGCGAAACATTTCCTTATCAGTCAGACCGTGGTACCAGGGAGCTGCCACCAGACAGAAGGGCAGAAAGGCAGATCAAGCCTTGCTCTGTTTCACTGGTTGTCCGTGGTGTGCTTCTGCTATAAAGGCGGTATGTTCTTGGTAGCACTGATTTCAAATGTGTGTATACCAACCCTGGGAGTCTACCGCACACAGAGCAGATACAGATACAGGATACAAATGACGTGGAATCTATGGAAGGCTGTGGGCAGCCAGGATGCTCACTCGCTGGGTGGGAAAGGCAGCAGGAAGATGACCTGGAGCTAGGCACAGACTGGAGAGGTACCTCAGGGCACAAAGGACTTATCCCACTCACTAGCTGAGAATCAGATTTTGATCCTTAGAATCCCCAGAAACTGGACATGGAAGCATGTGCCCATAATTCCACCACTCCTACAGTGAAGTAGGGGCTGGAGACAGGACACTCTCTGGGAGCTTCTGGGTCATCTGTCTGCCATACGCAATGGCAAACAAGAGGCTCTGTCTCAAACACGGTAGAAGTAAAGGACTGGTAGCCGAGGCTGTCTTCTGACCTCTGTGTGTGCCACGTCACATGCCTGTCTGTGCTTACACACATCGTGCATGGTTGGAAACAGCCAAGGTGTCGTCATTCCATAGGCGAGTGGAAAATAAATTGTGGCACATCCTTATAACGAAATATTACTCAATAAATAAAGTGCCGTTGAGTCACAACAAAGACAGGAAGCGAACTGCAAAGCAGATTGCTGAATGGAAGAAAGCAACTGAACAGGCTGCAAGTGATGCCTGCAATTACACGATGTTCTGTAAAAAGCCACACTGTGATGTTTTGGGATCAGAAGTTGGGTGTATGTGGGGAGAACAGAAGGGGCAGGGTGGAGTAGGCGGGACTTTCCTGTTATGAAATTCTTGCATGGGAAGCTGTATGGACACATCCTACCTCTGTCAAAATTCACAGGGTATACCCAGGAAGGAGGCCATGGGAGGGAAGCTGGCCTTTAGTTAACAGTGTGTCGATATGAGCTCATGGTTGGTGACACGCAGCACCCTGGGGAAGGTGGTAATGACAAGGGAATTGCCGCGGGCAGTGTGGGAGCTCTGTAGCCACTGCCTAGTTGCTCTGTAAGTCTAATTTTAAAGGACAGCGTGTGTCCCTCTTAGGGAATTTGTAAATATGGAAAGACAGGGAGAGAAAATCAACCAAGAGTCTGCCACTTCGGCACACTCACAGTCTGGAGTGCATTTTTTAAAAAAATATCCGACTTTACGATATTCAGTACTTTTCCAGATGCCTTCAGATTTCCCTTTCCCTTACGGACGTCTCCCCTGAGGTCCAGATTCAGCACTCTGTCTCTGAGTGCATCCAGAACGCTGCCCTATCCCCTGATTGTTCCTATAAAAAAGGCAGCCAGTGTGGGACCATGGCAGGAACCCTGAGCAGACCTCCCGGGCATCTGACCTCCCATCATTCTGCAGCAAACCTCATCCTCCATACGCCGCTAATGTCTACCTGCCTAGCCCGATATCCTCAGCCAACCCCATCTCCTCACCACCCCACATCCCACCCCTGTCCACACTTCTCTGCTTTCCAAATTCCTCGAAGCTCCCGTATCTCATGGAGTAGCATCTGCCCCAGAACTCTTGTACTTGCTGGTCCTTCTTTCCAGCAGCCAGCATGCCTCACTCTCCCATTATAGAATGATTGGGCCCATGTGTCCTCACTCCAATAAAGGTCAACCTGCTGAAAATTGAGACACACTCATCAGTTCTTCATCCTTCTTGATTGAAATTCATCACCTATATCAAAAAACCAACAGATGACAAGTGTGTCAATGATGTTCTTCCTTCTGGAAAGTTCTCCTGAAAACAGGCCTTCCGCCTGCCCATTGCTCAGCCCCTTGTCAGTCCCCAAAGACAACTGATTGTATGAGTGTAAGGTAGATCTTTAGAAGTGAGTTTGCAGCCTGGGTTACTTACTCTCTGTAGCCTTGGCATTCTTCCTGGATTCTGCGTTTGGAGCATCTGAGAGAGCCTGCGTGGGTGATGATTTCTCCATGTGTGCTCAGCATCCGGAGTCCCAGTGCTTTGAAAACCCTCCCGCCCTGGCCTACACCCACCCCTTCCTGCAAAGCCTCCCCACCTTGATTCTCTCAGTGCCCCCTCCCTCCACCAGGCTGGGCTTCAGCAAAGTCTTCACGGTCGCTTCAAATGACCTACACACCTGTGTACCATAGTGACACTATTTCCCTTACCATGTGCATGTCCTGGGATCCTTCTGGTGACTTCAGAATGGTGGCACTCTAAGCATCACACAGTGAAGCACGTAGGCTGAGTGACAAGATTCACTCTGGGGACAGTGCTAACCGGTACAGGATGTCATTGAAGGGGGCAGTGCTAGTCTTACATTTTGAGGGGGCTGTTATCTGAAATGGATGTGTGACGCATATACTGACCCTGGTCTCTCTCCCACAGGTGGTTGCCATAATAGCCTTAAGCCAATCAGCAGTGGTCCCACCATCACCATCACTGCCGCCGCCGCAGCAGCTGCTGCCATGGTCTCCATGGACCCTGAGGAACTCCGGGGCCTGTCACCCTCCATTGTGCAGCCCTGCCATTTCCTGACATTGACCCCCATCAGAATCCCCCTCCGGACTGCCCCTTTCTCAGGTAGGAACCAGCACGCCATCTGGAAAGGTCGTGAATTGTTCCCAGAATCCACCTTAGTGAAGCAGGGCCAGCTGGACCCACGAGCTCAGTGTCTTGGTCACTGTTCCCCATGCCTGGGCACATGATGTGAATTGTTGGAAGTCAGATCCAGGAGAGGCATCCAGTTGGGGTTTTGTGGGCTTTGCTTGGTGACAGACGATACACATGCACATGGACTCCGTGGATCAAGGCTTGGCTGTGCCACATGGCTTGTGGTATGTGCATGTGAAGAGTCAAGACCCTTTTACAACTGTGTAGGTACCGAGGACCCCAAGACCTTGGTCATCTCTTTGTGTGCCTCATGTCAGAGAGCTAGGGTGGCTCACCCAAGATGCATCACCTGACCTAGCTAGTGCTATCCCATTGCTGAACTGCACATGGCTCTCTCTCTAGCCATGCATGGGATTGGAGATAGCTTCTCTGGACATGTGGAAAGTCCTGTCCACCAGGCAGGGGTGGGGGATAAGAGGCATAATGTCCCCAGAGCCATTGGTGCTCAGGGTGCTGGGCCTTTTTGAAGGATTGGAGAGGATGAACTTGAGGCTTCTCAGCATCCCGAGGGGCAGCGATTCAGAGATGTGTGCTCCTGAGTTGTGGAATGGGTTCCAGACAGGCCACATTTCCTGCTGCTGTCCACATGATGTGCTTGCTGCTCTCCGTATTGCGCTTGTTGACTGGTGTCAGTGTGCCCCATGTCCCTGTGCAGTGTCTTCAAACGTGATAGTAATATCAACTTGGAATCTTCCATCCTGGGGTTTTGGTTGCTGTAGTGAGCTGGTCATGTGCTGTGGTAAAGCTTGCACAGGAAGTCAGCAGGAGGCAGGCAGCTACGTGCTGAGCATCCTGCATCCACAAATCCAAAGGCAGCACTCTCAGCGCTGATTAGATGCCACAGGTGGGAAAACTCTGCTTTGGAAAACTTTACTTATGCATGAAATTATTTTAAAAAAACATATAAAATAAACTTAAACCTGTGTATACATTACATAGAATGAATAAATTCACATTTAGACTTGATGTCTTTATGGACATGTAAATAATTTAAAATCTTGAAAAAGTCGAAGGCAGCTTGCATCCAAAGCACTTTGGATAAGGGGTGTTTAGCCATGTCATTAATAGCTGCATTCCCAGCAACAGGAAAGTATCACTAGATGAGACATGTGCCCATGCACACATATATGCATAGGCATATGCAATGCACATATGTGCACACACACATGCATATGCATACATGCACGCACATGCTCATGCATAAGCACATTCAAACACATATATACAAGGCAAAGATAAATACCCCGTGTTCCAGTTTTTTAGTGTGCCCTCCGTGATTGATTTTCTTTCTGGGGAATCTAATGAGGTCCTTTTCAACTGGACCTTTGATCTCTGTGTTCCTCAACCAGCCTAAAGGGTTAACCATAAAGGTACATTGTACTGCCCAGGATGAAGTCTGCATTCCATTTCAGCGTGTTCGTGAACTCTCGTTTAAGATGTGGTGGGAATAAGCCCTCGGGCAATCTGCGTTTGAAGCCCACATTCCTGCTGTGTGAAGCTGTGGGCTAAAACCCCTCAATCCCCTGATCCACTGATGCTTAAGAAAATTTATCTTAGAGCCAGACACTGTACTGCCGGCTGGCTTCCCTTTCCAGGTTTAGTGAAATCCAGGGGCGGTCAAGACAGGGCTTCTTTGGGAGGTGTGACCACCTGGTTGAGTTGGACTGGGTCTCTTCTCTAGCTGGTTGCAGAAGGTCCTTGAGAGGGGTGGGTATACTTCTGGTGAAAGCCATATCAAGTGTGCCTTGAGCTTCTAAAAGGGGCTGGAAGGATGTCCAGCTTGTCATTGTTCTGGTTAGCTTTATATAAGCGCAACAGACACTCAGGTCATTTTGGAAGAGGGAACCTCCACTGAGAAAATGTCCCCACCAGATCGGCCTGTGGGCCACCCTGCGGGGCATTTTCTTGAATGATGATTAGTGTTGGAGTTCTCAGCTCGCTGTGGGCAGTGCCATGTACGAGCGGCTGGTCCTGAAGGTCATAAGAAAGCAGGCTAGCTAGCCAGTATGCAGCACTCTTCCGTGGTCTCAGTTCCAGCCCCGATTCCTTCGTTGAGGGACCGTAACCTGGGAGTTGAAAGCTGGAATAAACCTTTTCCTCTCCAGGTCTCTTTCGGTCACGGTGCTTTTATCACAGCAACAGACACTGTAACTAAAACATCCATGAAGCTGCAGGCCTGTTTCGAAGGCACCTTCAGGAGCCTATGGAATGAGTGAAGGAGCAGACTCTTCAGAGAGCTAGTTTGCCCGGAAATGCCTGAGACCCTGCAACTGATGAGCCAGGCTGGGATCGGGAGGAAGACAGATTCCCTAGTGACTTGGTGTGGCGGGAACTGGAGGAGCCAGGCGTAGATGGACAGAGAAGGCAGGTCTGATGCAGCCCGTCCCTCATGCCCGCTTATCTGGAGCCTGTGGTCCTTGGTGTATCGGCAGCGAGCAAACTGTTCGTAATGGAAGGGCGATTCCCATTTCAGATGATGAGCCTGTCTGTTGCTTGATGTGAAAAAGCCAGAGGCCTCAGAGGCTTCATACAGTTCGGGTTAATGAGGCTCAACTGAGGACCATTTTGCCTCTTAGGGATATCCACACAACTACTGGAGATGGATTTTAGTTATGTCAGCCGGTGTGGAGAGGCTGGGTCCTGCAGGCTTCATCTGCCCCAAGTTCTATCTCCATAGAAAACCTCTGGTGTAAATTAGAATACCACGTAACAAACTCTGTGAGATCTTGTGCTAGGGCAGTGTGGATAAGCTCAGCTGGGCAAGGAAGACAGTGTGATTGTGTGTGTGTGTGTGTGTGTGTGTGTGTGTGTGTGTGTGTGTTCTGTTAGCTGAAGCCCCAGAGGGACATATCTTTGTGGAGAGAACGTTGACAAAGGATTTACACTAAGTCTGCAGCCCTTGTGTGTGCCTGTGTAGTTCTCAACCCATACTCAAAGAGCCAGGGGCCAGCTCCAAGCTCAGTTCTAATGGGGTTGTCTCCGTCTATGTGTAATGTGCACAGTCAAAGCTTGTGGTTAGTTCTCCATAGGCTAGCTACCTATGGAGCTTGTCCCTTTTCTGGACTGTGTGTCCACCATCAGAAAGCTGTGTCTTTCTTTCCTGTACCCCTCCCTCCATGAAGAACAGGCTGTGGATCTATGGACTCAGTGACATCCCTGATCCAGCGCCCTGTTGGGTCCTTGTTGGGTTAGGAGGATCTGCTCTGTCCTTTGTGGCATCTAGAGTTGCTGATTGCCTACCTGTCCCTGAATCGCACTTGGGGCAGAGGGCAGCAGGCTCATTTGGAGACATGTCCATTCTGCTGACAGTGCAGGCATGTGGGCTGGTGGCTGAAGGAGTCACCAGGGAAAGGAGAACAGAGCACACCTTTCACCCACAGACAGGTTTTGGCTCACTTCTCACTATTCCTCATGGTCTCAGATTATAGAAAAAAACCTATTCAGGGGAAAGGTCTTGGGCATCACAATGAAGTCCCAACATTAGGAGGTCAGGCTGGGTGTCAAGGGTAGGAGGAGACGTAGAGGATGTGGACCACAGCAGACATGCCTCCTTGGTGGTTCCAGAATGGCTATCCTGACCTGCAGTCACTGGACCAGAGTTCTGCTCAGACCTTTGCTAGGACAAGTGAATCAGGTACCGCATGCCTCCTCTAAAAGACGAAGAAACTGAAATGGCTTTTCTCCTAAGAATGATAGTTCATTTTACAGCATGGCCCACCCTTTACAAGGCTCTCCAGTGAGAAAGGGGAAATGGGAGCACGGAGACACTGTCTCTAGTATGGCCAATTACGATCAGATACAAATATTAAAAAGCACCATCTGCCTCGGAGACCATTTGCCACCTGTTCTCTTGCTTCCACAACTATTTATTGGTTTAAATTTAGCGTGCTGTCTTGCCACAGAACAGCTGGGCAGTGACGATTTTCTTTGTCTCCCAGTGGCTTGCCAGCCAAGACACATACCACGTCCAGGACATCTCAGGGCGTCAGCGTTGCCCATGGCCTTTCAGATGCTGGCAGCTCTCCCACTAGGGGAGTCCACAGCTTCTAGGTGACTTCTGACTACAGAGAGCCAACCGCTTGGGGGTAAAGTGGGCCCCTCTTTTATCTCGTTATTTTTTAAGTGCACGAATTATTCTTTCCTCTACTATAATAAAAAAGTGTCATAATACATATTGCAGTGTTAGATATTTCCAGAGACAAAAATTCAGACACCTTCTGGCAATATAGTTACTGATACTCCCAAACACACGGAGGTCGGCCTGCCCAGAGGGGATCATGACTGAATGTAAACAAGCAAGCAGAAGGCCCTATGTATTTATTATCTCTGACAGGGAGCTCTGTAAGAATGCTCTGAGCATGCATTCCTACACTACGCAGTGGGTGAGGGGCAAAACTGCCTCTGTGGGGAAACCTGTAGCTGGGATCCCAGAGTGAGGACCGCTCACACACCTAGTCCTTCCTGCCACACTGCCCACCTCCGACCACTGTTCCCCAGAACCACCCGTCCTATTACCTTAGGAATGCACACACTTTGGGGTCTACCTTTGCCGTCTCCACCATGATCTCTTGTCCACTCTATCTAGAACCTGAAAATACATCCTCACCCTAAAGGACTCAAGGTCTGGAGATATCTGCCTCCCTTAAGGTGGGGGCTGGCAGGATACAGCTATAGATCTCTCCCCACCTGCCCTCTCCACTCCAGAGGTAATGAACCCATGCTGTTCTTCCGCTGCAGCTTGGGAAATGCCTTCCCCACTTGCAAATGTATCGTTGCTGGCCAGGTGCATGCTGCCTAGTGGGGCTCTGCTGCCTTTAGAAGAAACAAGCCGCATTTAGCCATTCTTCTGTGATTGGTGATTTTTTTTTTAATGCAGTCCTGTAGATGAAAGTTTCTGACCCACCTGGTCC